TTTCTTTATTCGCTGTCGCCTTTTTTGAATTCTTTTTCAATATCTAATCATTAGATACCTGATTATCGTTTAATGGCAAACCCCATTCACTGGGATTATCTAAATTGGTGAACAAAACAGATTCGCCTTCAATGTTATCAACTATCTTTGCTGAAGAAATTGAATTAGCACTTACAAGTGTAACCAAATCCTCACATCCAACTGGGTTATTAGAAACACTTAAGAAAATTTCCCTTTTTCTTTCACAATATTTATTAGATTATCTGCACATTCTTCATTATCAGTATTTCTAGAATCAGTTATATTGCTACTATCTTAATTTTTCTAATATTTGTTCATTGCTCTCGTCAAATGTATTGAATTTTCCAAAGCAGCACGCCTCTTTCTTTTCAAAGATCCAGATTCATATTTTCTACCATCATTACGATCTGAGCTTGCAAAAACAGTAAACAAACATGCTTAAGGTTTGAGACATAATGGTGGCATTATATCCTCAAGTTACAAATACCTATATTGACTCCTTGTCTAAAAGATGTTACATTTCGGAGAGTCAAAATAGGGATTTGTAGGCTGAGGAAATAATGTCAACACTAAGTCTCAAACCTTAAGCTTGTTTATTTACTTTTTTGGAATTGCATTTTCACTTTAAGCTACCTATCTTGTTTCTGAATTTTTTTGAAGAACCCTATTCCCCTTTTTTAAATTAACAGTTTTTAATAATCTTGTATATATATATATATGTGTGTGTGTGTTAGAAATTTATGTCCACTTGCCATTTTCATCAATCCATCTTTCTTTTTATTGCTGGAGGCAATTTCTCACATTTCACTATTAAATGAAATCTTATTATTGTAGCTATAAAACCATTGTTGATCGACATATTGCAAGGCTTTCCATCAATAACCCATTGACTCTTGAACTGGTTTCTTTAAATAATAAACTTATCTCATTTGGGGCAGTGTTTTTGATTTTGTTTTGAATTCTGGGAAGACAGCTAGTTAGCACCACCCACCACTAACTCGTGGGCTACTCTTTCACCAACAAATATTTGGGATTGACCACACATTATAACACAACCCCACAGCTAAAAGAGCTAAATCCTGTTAATTTCTGTTCTCCGGTGTTTGGTTAGCTCTTTCTTGTTCCTTTGACCTGTTTGGCATGGAAGACTCACTCTTACGACACTATCTCTTTGGTGTATAAACAACTTTTGCTTGCTCACAGTATCAGCTGTAATGGCCATGCTACCTACATTTATAATGGTTTCCTTTTTCTTGCATCTTTTGGGAGGAGTTTTTACTTCTTACGGGAACTTGTTTGCAGTTCCTGGCAATATGTCTTGTAGATTATTTCCTCCGTTATGTTGTCTAGTTAATCCTTTCATTTCTTATAATCTATCATCAGGAGGTGTTGATGATCCCATAACTTCTAAATTGTACCTTTAGTTGTTCATCCACAATTTTAATGAATTCAACTTACCTCGCCAACTGAGGCTTCTTTTAGGGATGCAAGGTTACTTTGCTTCAGCCTAGTTTCATATCCTCGCCTGCTGTGGCATCTGTAAATTGGTTGTGTGCTAATAAATCCATCATTTCATGTGAAGCATCCAAGTAATATAATTGGGAAAGCCTTTTCAAATCTTCCTGCAAGTTCAACTAAAGTCTCTCTCTCTCTTTTTCCTTCACACCCTCCTCTCAAGTGTATGATTACTTAATATCGTTAAAGCCAGTTCTTTTAAATAAGCTATAACATGAATAGTTTGTTGTTCACTGTTCACTCTGGAAGTTATTTTGAACTGAGCCTGATATGCCTCCAATGGTTCCTTATTGTCATACCCCAAAGGGTGGTGATGTTTAAATGGTCATCTAAATTCTGGAACTTAATTTGACAATTCATGACTGGTTTAAGTAGAGAAGGCAAATGTGTGCAATTGAGCCAAGCCACCAATTGAAAGAGAATAAAAACAATCAAAAACTGGATGTCTCATTGAAAACATGTGTTTTTAACTTTGTCACTATGAAAGCAGTGATTTTAGTTGTTTCAAATAAAGCTACGTTCACTACCACGTATTTACAGTTTGTTATTTAATACATATTTGCTCCGCTATTTAACAAAAATTCATTGTCATTACTTTATATTTATCTATATAAATAAACGTCATTTCTTTATTACTCGGCACCAAACTTGACACAGTGAAAAAGGGTGACACGAGGAAGGTCATGAGGGGGGTTAGGCCCTCCCATCTAATTTCGGAAAAACTACCAATGTTGTATATCCCTCAGCATTTGAATGAACTATGCAACCACTACTGTTAGAGATTTTGAAAACAGTATGTCTTTCTTTTCAGTATTGGTATCTTTATTGCACTTTTAATGTTTATTATACAAATAAAGAAAAATATTAGCATAATTTCCTTTCCAGGTGGTTAGGTTGCTCGACTCGCAATCTGAGGGTCGTGGGTTCCAATCTCCGTCCCACCAAACATGCTCGCCCTTTCAGCCGTGAGGGTGTTATAATGTGACGATCAATCCTACTATTTGTTGGTAAATTAGTGGCCTTACACTACTAAATCAGGGACAACTAGCGCAGATAACCCTCGTGTAGCTTTGCGCGAAATTCAAAACAAATCAATCATTTGTTACAAACGAGTTTTCTTTTCACCCGTCCAATGGATGGGTACTCCAGCTAGTCAAAAATATTAGAACTAGGATTTTGTATATCATCTTTCCATCACCCGTGTTTTGCTCAAACTATAGTTAACAAATAGTGTTGAATTGCATTTGACTTACTTGTGAAGTTCAAGTTCTAAGCGCTCTCGTATAAAATGTCTCCCCCACCCAGAGTTCTTAAACCAGAAAATTACTGCAGTCACGGCAGTAGTGGTAATAAACCCTACTTTTGTTGGCATTGTGTTCTGTATAGATAAGTGAAGCAGTTTAAATTTACCAACCAGTGTAGTAATTCAAAATTGTTTTAAAATCTATCGATCTAGTACCACTTTACATATTTGTGTACTTTTTATTACAGTGTTGCGTCAGCGAGGTTACGTGACTAGTGTCACGCCACCTGCTTTCTAGAACTATCCCGTTTCTTCGGGAGTGCTCTACCATTTACTAGATACGTGTTTGTCTGGTATATATATATATATATATATAC